GGCAAAAAATACACAACTGTTTACAGTGGAATAGTGCGAAAGTTACTTAGTGCAATCGGAATAATGACAAGATTTTTACAATAAGGAAAAACGAAATATAAAAACAGGTAAAACGAATGGTTATTGTTTTTTGTTGTAAGTTCCCATCTACGAGATAAGACGGCGTGGTGGAGTACAGATGACGAGAGAAAGCTGTTTTTCAGGTAGCCGCTACATCAGCTTGAAAAGTTTCACCAAATCATTCGTCTTGGCCAGCTGCCGCGAGAAAAGGGTAAGGTCTCTTACCTGTTAATGGTGGCGAGGGGCTGCGCCACGTTACTGTATAGCATCGCTCTGGCCGGGAGAGGGAAAGCGGGAGGGCTCAGCTGCACCATCCGAGTTTCGCACGCCGGATCCCGCGGAGGCAGAGGTAAGGGTATCGGCGGTCTGCACAGCTCGGTGGTCTGCACCTTCTGGGTGATGTCTCCTTTCTGCTCCCTTCCTTTTATATCCAAGCTCCCTCCTCTCCTGGCCAACTCGATCACTGGCATTTCCTTTTTGAGCTCGTTGGCAGGGTAAGCCGTTTCCTTGGTAACTCCGTTTATGAGGATAGTCCCATTTTGATGGTCCCCGGGGACGCCTTCGCCAGGTCTCTTGTCCGGGTCGGTCGTGCTTTCCTGGTTTTCACACGTCTCGCTGGCCTTGTGAGAGTCGTGACGGGGAGACTCGCACTCCCCTGGGCTGTTCTTACAAAGCTCCAGTTTCAGCTTTTCCATCATCTCGCGGATTAAAGGAAGGTGCGGCACTGCATGAAAGGTTAAATTAAAAGAGCAATGGAAAGGCTCCCTGCTGAATCTATATCTGAACAGGAAGATGTTTCCTTGAAGTCACCTGGGTTAAAGGGACGGAGAGATACTGTACGTAAGAATGTATCAGAGCACATGATTTAAACTGGACTGTGGTGGCGACATTCGCTGAAACAGACAAAAATGCACCTTTTCTGGCTGTGAGCGCTGAAGTGTATAAGTATCTAGTGCTCCATACTGTACAGTACAGTACGTTTCCTATCTTGTTCAAGCACAAACCATTTCATTTATTACCCAGACCGATGTAGGCTTGGTAATTCACCGGCATTTTTTCCAGCTTGTTAAAAATAAGTAAACAGGCGAAATAATAAACAATATTTTTAATTAATGGTTTGTGCCATTGTTTTAAGGCTTATCGATTTATTTATTGATTCACTTTTACGTTTTTAATTGTACTGGACCTAAATCTTCAGATTAGGTACAAATGACCATTTATTCCAACGCGACCTGTAGGAACCACACATGTCGCGGATGTTGATATAGAGGCTTCTTTCAAGACATTAGTAGAAATTTTTTAATAAACTGTGAATACAAAAAATAACACAACCATATACATTATTTGTACACATAAACCTATAGAACAACAAACCTAATCTAACCGTACCGTTCCTACCTAGAATAAAACATTTATGCTCGAAAGTAAAAACAAATACGCCATCCAGCGATTCTTGCGATGAGCTTGAACTTGGCTATTCCAAGCAGGCATGTGAATAAGTGTGCACCAGGTGACATCACGGCCAAAACGAGTAATTGGATTTTAAACCTTGAAAACAGAGGAACATAGGAGACAATATCGCCCCAGCGTTCACAGAAACAGTGTTCTTTTTCAAATAGGTGCTCATCTCACTCGACCCCTACAAACGCGACTTGGCGTCACTGCATTTATCTTCTTCTGAAATTACCGTCAAGCTCTAAAGATCGGGTTTTAAGCATAGGGGAAGTCACGTCAGTATCAGATGAAATTTTACCTTTCCCTGACAAACAGTATACCAATTTACAACTTAAAAATAAACACGTTCAAAAATAAAGATGTGAAGTTCACTGAAGATCAGTTCAGAATATTTGGATTAATTTTGACGCCTACACTGAATTATGCTGTTTTTCTTAACGATTTATTAGCTTACTATAACTGGAATGTACCTAACCAATTCAGCATGTATTTTGTCAACAAAAACAACAGGATTAGTGATACTCCAAACAAGGATGTCATACTAGTTTTATTTTATAAGAAGATTTAAATCTTTTGGTGCGAAATGTGATTTTCAAGTGTCTTAATTTACTCATAGTGCAGAAAGTATTGTTAGACCCTAGCTGGAATTCAAGAGCGAAATAATTATGTTTAAAAAAAAACAGCTAAAAACTAAATTCATTCTAACATTGAAACACAATAACTTTATTTTACGAGTTAAATCTAATATCCCGCAGGTTGTTACTACGATGCAGAACTGGGTTTACGGACACGCAAAACGAAAGATATTAGCTATATTTTCCTGAGCGCCTGATAATGAACATGCAACAGTTTCTAAATAATTCAGATCACGGAAATATAGCATTTCTTATTCCACGCAGTGCACGGGAATTCGAGTTCTGTGTATAAACCGTGGAAGTAATTCCACGTTGAAATCATTTTTACAAAAAAAAGGAAATAAGTTAATTTTGTAACGAATCGATGAATATTGTTCTATTTCACGCACAGGGTCGTTTGCATTTATTCGTTTTAAATCACCAAAATATTTACTTACTGGCGTTTGTGTATTGCTGTTACCATTGTGTTATTATTAGGCAAACCTAATAGAAACAGAATTCTGTTTTCTCGTCTCCCCATTTATCTTACAACAAAGCGGGGCAAAATGTACACGGTAAATCCATAGAAAACCCGTATGTCAGCTATGTTTGGAGACTGAATATTGCTCAAGTACATCGAACAATGGAAGAGCCCCCACCTTTATATCGCGGACATTCCCAAAGTTAATTAAACCAGTCATGGAAGAGTTTTGTACTGTACGGAAAATGTATTTTTAAAACATCCGTGTTGCTTAAATATTATGCACCCGTTTAATTTTTAAATAACACTATCTGGGTAATTTAATTTCGGGAGTGTGTCATTTAAAGACATTTAAGGAAACACTTCCCTGCTTCCCTGAAGGATCTCTTGTATTTATGTCCGCAAGAATCGGAGCGTTATTATGTTTAATATCCCTAGACCCCATCCAAGAACACCTCTTCTTTCTTTTCATTTCGCGATTGTCCGTACGCTTGTTTAAGTTTTCGATAAAGAAAAGGGTATTTGAATTTAAAAAGAGATTAAAAATTGAATAGGCCTATGATGGTTGGCTTATTGTGGTCCTCTAAAAAATGTGTTACGGAAGGCGTTAAACGGAAAAAAACAACAACAAATCGAATGATTTTTAAATGTATATATAAATCTATTATAAATAAAAGGAAAGGCCCGACTACACATAAACCCGTTCATAACCCACTGTTGTATCTGGGAAAACAACGACGAAATACAGAAAACGATCAAGTACGATCGCTTGAAAACGATATAAAATCATGCACTATGTCTTAAAATAATCCAAAAGCATTTGTTTAACGAACACATGCCCGAAATAACGTTTTTCTTACCGTTTGTATGTTGATATTACACTATGCGTGGAGCCATTTTGTGGAAGGCCATCCATGTCTGATATTTTAGAGCTCTAAAGTGCTGTCTGGAGTTGGAAGTGGTTGTATATAATTCCACATCACGTCCAGTTCGCTGCTTAGTATGGAGAACGGAACACTACAGCAATGTGACCAAGAGAGATAAGCGCTCAGCGCTGGCCACTCGGCCATGATAAGCCCCTAAACCCATTATTTATGAAATGATTCATTATTATTTGGCAATTTTATCGAAGAGAAAGCGGAAAATATTGTAGGGATATGCATAGGCATAACTTTAGAATACATAGCTTTATAGATCCTTAAAAAATGCGTTCCCGCACCTTTCGAGTTTTTTTTACCCCAAAACGTTTCAGAGTAGTTACAAGCGCATCATTACGGAACAAATTTGAATGTTTAGAAGTGTGTGGCTTTATGAAGTTCGTGTTCCACAAATTAATAAAAAATAAAAATTAAACGGCAAATATATCGGGGGGAAAAAGGACGTCAAGAGTGAAAACAAAATCTTGAACGTGTTCTTGGACATGAAACGGAATCCCCGAAAAGTTGACGCCGGCTCTCCGACACATAGCGGAACAAGACACGACCCAGCACCTTGGGGCGGCCAAATAAGAAATCGTCTGTGTTATCCCAGACGGCTGTGTGGTGCTGGAAGTTTGATTTAAACAGATCGCAGTTATTAAAATCTCGTTAAACACTTCTGTTACGCGTAATGCCTAATACCAGTCTGTGTGGGAGGTGCTACACACGAACGTCGGAGTATTTTCAAAAGGACACATGTATATAATTGATTTGATAAGTCTTGATAACCCTAATCGATTGAATATCTCACAAAGACATTCACTTTCAGACTTCTGACCCCAGAGAACCCGGAGGAGGTAGATTTTAGCCGTGCGGGGCAACTTGTAGTTTCATTTTCATTAACAAAGAATTTTAGTCACTTGTACAAATGCGCATAATTTAGCTTGATGTGGGACTCCGAGAGGTTATTTATCTGTATACGCAGTATTGGTTGCAGTTCTGGATTCGGAAGAGAAAGATTGTATTGCCAGATTCCCGAAAGGACTCTTGTTTTGTAACCTTGAGCAAGGTAAATTCCTGCTTCGGTAAATTCCCAACTGTATAAATGCGTCTCCAGGCAGTCATTATAAATGAGAATTTGTCTGCGTTTTTATTTTTACGTACTAAAATACAGGAATGAAAAAGAAAGATATAGAACGCAACGTAGCTAATTATTATATGGAGCCATGCCACCTTATTATTCTTAACAGCAGCAGTGTTAATCATACAAATAAAAAAAATCAATAAAAATAAAGAAAATCGCAGGAAGGCGAATTAAATGCTTAATTTTCCGAGCCTTTGAAGTAGCTGTCTTTTTATGTGATGCGGGGTTTATGCTTTCTCGGAAGAATGCCCAAGGAAAGCGAGCCAAAATTCATAGAAACCTCAGAGGACCACCTTGCAGCGAGAGATAAGACCTTATCGCTTTCCCAGTGACCTTCAGTCAGCCGGTATAAATCAAATGGGGATAAACCCACCGCCCAGCCAGGGGCTCATGAACCTGTGGATGATGCGGGACTTGTGGTCTCGTATTCCCCCTTAAGCATAGTGTTCTCGGTGAATTCGCATCTACAGTACAGATGTATAAGCCCTTCACAGCCACTCTTGAGGAATGACTCCATCATAAACTGGAACTGCATTTCATGAGGCGCGTATTCATTCCGACTTGAAAATTAATTATCCTAATCAGGTCGTTTTATTACATCGGTGTCTTTGGTTACATATTAATTTGGGAATAGGATGCAGAAGCTGCATGCGCTTCCATATTCCATTGCTTAATGGAAAATTGATCAGGATTTTTCATCTCTTATTGAAAATGATGACTGTGTTTAATAAGTTTAAAATAAGAGCACATTTCTATCGTCGGAAACGTAAAGTTGGGTTATACAATGTATAATATCCCCCCCCCCAAAAAAAAAAAAACTTTTTATTTACAGTTAAGTGTATGACTGCGATTATTTGGAGCTTCGAATGTAAAAAAACAGCTGCCTTCAGAAAACCGAAATAATAAGCTTTCGTGCTCCGACATCAATTGCTTTGACAGTTCATTCTCCCCAGTAAAATTAATACACGACTGTCAACTTCCATAACATCGTCGCTAAAATGATTAAATGTGCATCTAGGATCCTGACATGCAAGTCTCTGCGTTCTTCACACTCGCCTACAACGTCCTTCTCGATTTCCCTCATCCGTTGTCAATACAGTCTTTTTCTCTGCCTCATGTTACTGTTACGAACACTTACCAGCTCACAGATTGTGAAGGAAGAACGCGTTTCCTGTGGACTGTTTCATAAGGCGAGCAGAGAGTCAATGCAAGTACAATGTACTATACGGTGTGGTGCGGTATATTCACAGACGTGTTCTGGTTTCAGTTTAAATGTACATCTCAAGTTATGTATTTTTGGTGAAGGTTTTGTTGTGTACCGGATTTATCTACAGAGCCTATGTGGGTTGTATTTGTGATCCACGCGAAACCAGACTATAAACTGAAAGTTATGGAATCGTTGCAAAAAAAAAAACTTTTTCATCCTTCATTGAATGTAATATTCAAATGATTTCATAAACGAATACTGTAAAAAATCACTAATGATGTTTTTGGAAATGTGTTGTGGTCACCATCTTCACAGAAGGGCTAGATATAAGAAATCATAATTTTAACAGGATCTCAATCTATCCGATATATGCGGGGAAAGGCGCGGTTTTATATTCAGAGAAAATAATTGACCCAGCAACTCCTACCACAGTTTTTAACTAGTGGAACGTAAAATGAGCTCGAAAAATGCTGATGTCCTTTATAAACGATTAGCCAAATTGTTTTTGTTTTCGAGAAATGCGGCAGAGAATGAGACCAATGTTATTACCGAGCCTCCGCTCTGGGCACGAGGGTGTTTGTGGGTCACGAGAACACGTTGCTGGTAGGATTCTTAGGAAGGACAAGGTTCTATCTCAGCGATAGATATACACCATAACATATCCTAAACCGCTCATGATCTCATAGAGCCCATGTAGGGCGGTTCGGTGGCTCTTTGGCTAAGTACCTGCTCCTAGTGCTGGAAGGTTGGCGTATTCTGAGCAAGGCCCCTAACCCCAACTGCTCCAGGGGTGCTGTATAAATGGCTGACCCTGCGCTCTGACCCCCAGCGTCTCTCCCTGTCTGTGTGTCTCATGGAGAGCAAGCTGGGGCACGCGAAAAGACGAGTTCCTAATACAAGAAATTGTATATGGCTAATAAAGCGATCTTATGTAGCTGCAGAACCCCGCCTCGCAGTCCTCCTCCTACAGTATCAGGTCTAGGTCTTTAGTCTCCACACATCCCCAGATGTCTTGAATTAGTATTTACGGTTTTCTTTTGTTGGTAGCTTCAAGGGACTGATCTGATGGATGTGAATCTATGGGTGAATTTATCAGATACATTTAATTTCTTGTTTATTTTTTAGATGCTGGGGTAATGTCAGAATATTTTTTGGTATAAAATTGATTTTTCCCCCCATTACGACTGAGTACACTGTGCGTGTGAGAGCATTAAAGGTACAATTAATTTAGACCTACATTGCTTTTCTGGCCGATCTGTAAACCTTTACCGTTGAAACTTTACTTCCCCCTAAACAGACGAACATTCTATTAAATTAACCTATACAGATGTGTTGGGTCCTATACGAGGCCACTTCATCTGGTCCAATTCGAGGAAGTTCTAGAAGATTCCCTCTGTTTTCGCAAGTGTATTCGTTTGTTTACGTTCAGACCCTGTTCATTGTCTATCATTAAACTTAGCCATGTGCTCCTGTTACTTCCTTCCAAGTGTAGGCAGTTGGTCACGACCACCATCCTGTGCGCTCTGCGTCAGCCGCAGAGGCGGACAGTGGCGCGCAGAAAGTCGTGTGCTCCAGGCAGGAAACCCATGCCCGAGTTCTGCTAGTCATCGGTGCGGTCCTCCAGGAAATGCAGGAGGTGTTGGGAGAGGGAGCCGTGCTAGCCTGCCTCTGTTGACGATCGGGCCGTCGTGTATTTTAGCAAAGCGGCAAAGGATCTTCGATAGAATCATCCCGTGATGTATATCGGAAACGTAACTGAAAATACATTATTCCGGCGATCTGGGGGTCACTGGGAATACACCGTGAAAGGTTTGCTTTCCCAAAGAAGACCCCCGGGCAGATAATGTCAAGAATTCACTAAGTACAACCCCAGAATATCATTACACGTTCAAGGACTTTTTCTGGATCTATGTGTACAGGACCCATACAGTATGTATAGTATATCTTACTAACGGCTTTAAAAGTACCTGAGTGGTAATGTGGTTCATTTAAAAATACACCTTAATAGATCTAATTTAAAGAGGGTATCAAAGATTACCAATAGTAATTATTAACTTTAATAAAGTAAAACCATAAGATAGTTTACCGGGTGTCGTTTTATAAGAGATAGGATCACTTTACAATTTCTTGTACTAGCCAAATACAATTTCTTATATTATGAATTTGTCTTTCCGCATACCCCAACCCGCACTGCATGAGACACACAGACAGGGAGAGAAGCTTGGAGTCAGAGCGCAGGTCAGCTATGTATACAGCACCCCTGGAGCAGCTGGGTTAAGAGCCTTGCTCAGGATACGAACCAATAACCTTCCAGCCACAGGCGCAGATCCTTAGCCAGAGAGCCACCGCACCATCCCGCACAGTAATACCAGCTGTAGCTTACTGTAACTTACTGTACTTTGCAGTCACAAGTAGTGGTGATTATTGTAGCCTACAGCATTGTCGGGGGATCAGAGCTGTTGTCTCACAGCCCCTGGGGTCCATCAGGGAAAGGGATGCATTCTGTATGTAATCCCCAGCGTCTGCGTGATTTTCCTACCTGTGTTCTCCTTTCCTCTCTCCTTCCAAAGACGCGTTAGCTTGGATGATTGGTACTGTATCTCTCAATTGCCCCTGCATGTGTGCATACGAGTGACAGGCACTGTCCAAAGTGCAGTACTGCCTTGTGCCCCTCGATTCGGGT